ATCGTCATGCTCACCATCATCATCGTCATCATCATCAGCATCATCATCCTCATCCTCCTCATCATCATCAGACTCATCAGCATCAGCATCATCATCATCCTCATCATCATCCTCATCATCAGCATCATCCTCATCATCATCATCAACAGCATCATAATCATCATCGTCATCGTCATCATCATCATCAGCAGAATCATCGTCACCATCATCATCATCATCAGCAGCAGCAGCATCATCAGCATCAACATCAGCATCAGCAGCATCATCATCACCATCATCATTATCAGAATCATCATCAGAAGCAGCATCATCATCAGCAGCATCAGTAGCATCATCAGTATCATCATCAGCAGCAGCATCATCAGCATCATCATCATCATCAGCATTAGCAGCATCATCAGCAGCATGAGCATCATCCTCAATATTATCATCATCATTATCATCATCATCATCATCATAATCGTCATCATCATCATCAGCATCATCATCATCATCGCCAGCAACATCAGCAGCAACATCAGCAGCATAAGTATCATCGTCGTCGTCATCATCATCAGCATCGTCAGCATCATCATCAGCATCAGCATCAGCATCGTCATCATCGTCATCATCGTCATCATCATCAGCAGCATTAGCGTCATCACCATCATCATCATCAGGATCATCAGCATCGTTATATTCATCACCATCATCATCAGCGTCACCAGCATCAGCACCAGCATCAGTCTAATCCTCATCAGCATCAGCAGCATCATCAGATTCATCAGCATCAACAACAACACCAACAAAAACATCATCATCAAGGGCAGCATCATCATCATAATGAGAATCACCATCAGCATCATCATCATCAACACCAGCAGCATTAACATATCGGCATCAACAAAATTAGCAACACCAGCAAGCACAACAACAACAACAACAATTTGAAGACTGTTCGCTCTGATCTGCTCGAATGACATTCAACGTATATTTCCCAAACCATCGATACCCGCCCTATTCGTCTTCGATCGTACCCCTGTTGAGGGATATATCTGTCTTCCCTGCAGGCCGGGCCCCGGCAAGCGGCGGGGCGGCCGCGGACCGTCGGCCTGGCCAGTGGCAAAGTTGATCGGCGGCAACCCGACCCCAAGAGAGACGGACAGGGGACCGACCACGACGACAACGACAACGACGACGACGACGACGACGACAACGGCGACGGCGACGGCGACGGCGGCGACGGCGACGACGACGACGACGAGCCAAAGCAAGAGCGAGAGCGAGAGCGAGAGCGACAGCGGGTTAACGAAGGGAAGGAAGGGGGCCACGAAGGGGTCAACGGGGCAACGAAGCGCATGCTTATGTGTCCACCAAGTGCGCCAACCAGCGTGGGCCACCAAGGGCATATATTGCGGTGCCACAAATTTCAACGACGGGGCCACTGAGGGCAGCAACGGGGCCACGTAGGTCAGCGAGGCGCCACGAAGCGCATGCATATGGTACCACGACGGGCGAGAACGAGCGGGGGCCACGAAGGGCATACATACATGGGGCCACAAAGGGCAGCGAGGGGGCCACGAAGGGCTGGAACGGGGCCACGAAGGGCAGCGAGCGGGCCACGAAGGGCTGCAACGGGGCCACGAAGGGCAGCGAAGGGGCCACGAAGGGCTGCAACAGGTCCACGAAGGGCAACGAGGGGGCCACGAAGGGCTGCAACGGGGCCACGAAGGGCAGCGAGATCCCGATTCCGAAGTAAGCTGTGAGGGAGTCCTAAACGTGAGCGCGACTCCTGGGTGCCTGAGTGCCGAGAGCGCGGCCCTTCAGTAAGTTGCGGGGAATTCCAACGCAAGAGCGCGATTCTTGATTAAATTGCAAGCAAGTCTGCAGCGAGAGCGCGACTCCAGAGCGCCGAGAGAAGGATTCCTGAATAAATTGCAAGAATTCCCCAGCGAGAGCGCGATTCCTGAATAAAATGCGAGGAAGTCTCGGGCGGGAGCGGGGGTCCTGGCTAAATTGTGAGAAGTCTCAAGCGGGAACAGTTGTTGTTGTAATCCGGGGGCCAACAACGCAGTTTGACCCGAGTGATTTCCCTGATAAAAAAACCGGCTGCGAGCCCCAGGAGAAGAACTTCAAATGGGAAAACACTATGGTCACCGGAGGGGGATCAACAAAAATTATTACTCAGCAGTGAAAGCTTAACAGCAACAACAACAACAACAACAGCAGCAACAACAGCAGCAACAGCAACAGCAACAGCAACAGCAACAGCAACAACAACAACAACATGACTCTCACCATCGGCAGCAGCGAAATCACCATCCTCATCCTCATTCTCATCCTCATCCTAATTATCCTCAGTCCGCTTGTTCTCGCTAGCCACCTAAACATTTGGAGAATACCTATCGGCATCCTCATCCTCCTCCTCCTCCTCCTCCTCCTCCTCCCCACCACCACCACCACCACCACCACCACCATCATCATCATCATCATCATCATCATCATCACCACCATCATCATC